TTATGGGTTATTTGACTGTTTTTCTTTTATATGAGACTGTCAGCTCCTTGAGGGAAGAGACTCTATCTAGGTTTGTGCAGTGCTGCATTCTCACCGGTAGGAAGCTAGTATCCAAAACACGTTTGTTAAATATGTAAAGGATTGGTGTCAAAATATTGCATAATCAACGACTTTTCATTAAAAAACAAGAAATGCACAGTATAGAAGAACTAAGAAAGAAATTGAATTTAGAGGTAGTCAGCAATAGTATCCAAATTACTAAGCTTTTTAAAATGACTATTCATTTAAAACTTAAACTAGCTATCTTCACATTAACAGTGGCTGAAATGGGGGAATATGGGATGAAATGGGATATGGGATGAGGGCTGGGAAGAGAGCTAAGACTGGAGGCATGGTTGAGTTTGTTGATTTATGTGGTATCAAGATATGGAATCAAGTTAGAATTGGATTTGGATTTATGGCTTGGGATCAGATTTGGGATCTGAGTCAAGATTTTTTTTCTTTTTGAGACCGAGTCTCACTCTGTCACCCAGGCTGGAGAGCAGAGGTGCGATCTCGGCTCACTGCAACCTCAGCCTCCCAGATTCAAGCGAGTCTCCTGCCTCAGCCTCCCGAGGAGCTGGGGTTACAGGCACCTACCACCATGCCCGGCTAATATTTGTATTTGGGAGTTTCACCATGTTGGCCAGGCTGGTCTCGAACTCCTGGCCTCAGGTGATTCACCTGCCTTGGCCTCCCAAAGTGCTGGGATTACAGGGGTGAGCCACCGCGCCCAGCCTGAGTCAAGACTCCGATTCAGCACTGAGGTCTTAGTGAAGATGATTTTGGCTACAAGGATCAAGCAACTCTAACTCAGAAAGGGAAACTGCAAAAGTCATGACATGAAGAGGCTCCATCGTTGGTGAATTCACCAGCTCAGTGACCTCCTCAAAGACCCAGCTGTGCCTCATCTCTCTGGTGGGCTACCTGCAGTGCTTTGGCATTGGCTTCGTCCTCTGGTCGCTTCTCTCTATGGACCCTAGAGTGCTGCCACAGTTCCAGAATTTGCCTCCAGATTAGACACCATCTAGCAGAAGAAAAAAGGCCTCTTTCAGTGTCTCTTTCTGAAAATAAGAAAGTCTTTCCTAGAAGTGCCTCTGGGTCTTCCCCTCCTCCTCACTGGCCACACGGCATCACATGTCCATTTCCAAACTAATCAAGCAAACGGAATATGGTGTTGGTGCTTGGTTCGTTGAGGTTTATAGTCATGAGGATGAAATATTATCCAAACAAAATGGAGCCTCTGATAGAAAGGCAAAAGGAATGCCGGGCGCGGTGACTCACGCCTGTAATCCCAGCACTTTGGGAGACTGAGGCGGGCAGATCACGAGGTCAGGAGATTGAGACCATCCTGGCCAACATGGCGAAAACCCATCTCTACTAAAAACACAAAATTAGCCCGGTGTGGTGGGGGGTGCCTGTAGTCCCAGCTTCTCGGGAGGCTGAGGCAGGAGAATCACTTGAACCTGGGAGGCAGAGGTTGCAGTGAGCCAAGATTGTGCCACTGCACTCCTGCCTGGGCGACAGAACAAGACTCTGTGGAAAGAAAGGGAGAGGGAGAGGGAGAGGGAGAGGGAAGGAGGGAAGGAGGGAAGGAGGGAAGGGGGGAAGGAGGGAAGGAAGGAAAAAGGGAGGGAGGGAGGGAGGGAGTGTGAATGCTTGGGTATGCAACACTAATGTCTATTATTATGGGTCAAATGTAGAATTAATTGAGTTAGGGGTCAGGACTGAGATAAGGCTTAGGTCCAGGGTGGAGAAATAAATTCCATTTTCAGGATCTAACTTAGAGGTTGAGGTTAGTTCCACCTTTAGGAATGTGTCCAGCAATGATTCCTGTCTTGCTCAAAATAAAAGGCAAAGACCCTGAAGACCCCCTGTCATCAGCGTTCTGTTATTTCTGGCCTCATCACCTGCCCCCCTGTCCTTTGGTCACTCTGTTCTGGTCGAAGTGGTTTTTCTGCTGGGGCACTTGAGACATGCTCCTTAACTAACACACCTGCCTACTCACTTTGCCTGGAACTCACGACCTTCAAGCAGCCGCCTGGATCCCTCCACCCTCTCCTTCAAGATTCTGCTCAAATGTCACCTTCAACGTGGGGTCTTTGCAGCCGACCTTTCTAATATTATAACCTCAGGGATCTTAGAGGGTAGAGGGAACCAGCAACTCCCCAACCCTCTTCCTTGCTTGGATTTTCCCTCACAGCACTTACAACCACCTAACAAACTCTACATTTTATATGCTTATTTTTGTACTGACAGTACAAAACAAGAGCATCTATGAACACAGGAATGTTCTGTTTTGTTACTGCTGTGTCTCCAAGAGTCTGAAGAGTTTCTGGCACAGAGTAAATGTTAAATGGATGCTGGTTGAATAAATACGATGAACAAAGATGAATGTACAAAGAAGTTCATCTCCGCATTATTATTATGAAAACTATCCAAGTGAGTATGGAATATTACACAACCATTATACAGGAAGGAGAAGTGATGTAAACGCACTAAGAGGGAAAAGTTTTCCCCTTTTTTAAAAAATAAATGTTACTGTATATATTGAAAGTGTACAATATGATGCTATGCGATGTATATACATAGTAAAATAATTACTATAGCTGAACAAATTAACATATTCATCACCTCACATAGTTACCCATTTTCTTCCCCTGTGGCAAGAGCAGCTATAATCTACTCATTTAGCAAAACTCCTTGGCCGGGTACCGTGGGTCACACCTGTATTCCCAACACTTCGGGAGGCCAAGGTGGGCAGATCACAAGGTCAGGAGTTCAAGACCAGCCTGGCCAACATGGTGAAACCCCGTCTGCACTAAAAATACAAAAATTAGCCAAGTGTAGTGGCCTACACCTGTAATCCCAGCTACTCAGGAGGCTGAGGCAGCAGAATTGCTTGAACCCAGGAGGTGGAGGTTGCAGTGAGCCGAGATCACGCCACTGCACTCCAGCCTGGGCAACAAAGCAAGATTCTTTCTCAGAAAAAAAAAAAAAAAAAAATCCTGAATACTACACACTATCAGTTAGTATAGTTTTTCCTGTTGTCCATTAGATATTCCAACTTGTTCATCTTACATTTTTGCTACTTTGTATTCCTTGACCTACCTCTCCCATTTTGGGGTGGAGGGAGGTATTTTTTTCAGGATACTTCATAGAGTAAAAAAAGAGGCTGGGCGCAGTTGCTCAAACCTGTAATCCCAGTACTTTGGGAGGCCAAGGCTGGTGGATCACCTGAGGTCAGGAGTTCGAGACCAGCCTGACCAACATGGTGAAACCTCATCTCTAGTAAAAATACAAAAATTAGTTGGGCGTGGTGGCAGGTGCCTGTAATCCAGCTACTGAGAAGGCTGAGGCAGGAGGACCACTTGAATCCAGGAGGTGGAGGTTGCAGAGAGCCTAGATTCTACCACTGCACTCCAGCCTGGGCAACAGAACAAGACTCCATCGAAGAAAAGGAAGAAAAAGAAAGAAAGAAAGAGAAAAGGAGAGAGAGAGAGAGAGACAGAGAGACAGAGAGAGACAGAGAAAGAAAGAGAAAGAAAGAAAGGAGGGAGGGAGGGAAGGAAGGAAGGAAGGAGGGAAGGAAGAAAGGAAGATTCTTTTTCTCTATGTGTCCATGTATTCTCATCATTTAGCTGCTCCCACTTGTAAGTGGTAGTTTGCTAAGAATAATGTCCATCCATGCAGCTCCATCCATATCCCTGCAAAGGACATGAGCTTGTACTTTTTTATGGCTACATAGTATTCCATGGTATACATGTAGCACCTTTTCTTTTTGCTTTTTTTTTTTTTTTTTTTTTGAGACGAAGTCTTGCTCTGTCACCCAGGCTGCAGTGCAATGGTGTGATCTCGGCTCACTGCAACCTCCGCCTCCTGGGTTCAAGTGATTCTCCTGTCTCAATCTCCCTAGTAGCTGGGATTACAGGCGTACGCCACCACACTGGCTAGCATGTTTTCTTAATCCAGTCTATCACGGATGGGCATTTCAGTTGATTCCATGTCTTTGCTATTCTGAATAGTGCTACGATGAACATACATGTCTTTAAATAGAACGATTTATATTCCTTTGTGTATACAAACTGGAACCTATGAGAGGGTGGAGGGTGGGACGAGGGAGAGGATCAGAAAAAATAACTAATGGGTACTAGGCTTAATGCCTGAGTGATTAAATAATCTGTGTAACAAACCCCCATGATACACGTGGACCTATCCAACAAACTGGCACCTCCAGCACATGTACCCCTGAACTTAAAAGTTAGAAAAGGAAAAGTAAATAAATGTTTGCTCGATAAATTTATAAACAAAGCCCTAAAAAAGGTTCTATTAGATAACGTCTAGTACAGACATTTCTGTTATAAAAACGTAATATGTAAAGAAATCTATGTATAACATGATTAAAAGGACCATAAGAACATATATGCTAAACACGGCCAATATTAGTGGGGTGGAGTTAGAGAAAGCATTGTTTTTACGTCTCTGTTAGGGTTGGGGATGGGTTCAGGCTTACAGGCAGGACTGGGATCAGGCTGGACAAGTTCCCACGGGCGGGTCACAACTAGGATGCAGGATCTAGGCCACCCCTGAGAGGGGGTGAGGACGAGGAAACGGTCCAGAGGAGGACCCGGGCCACAGCCTATTCCCAGAGCTCAGCCTGCCCCTCGGAGCCAGCGCACCTGGTCCCTCCCCCGAGAGCAGCCAGGAGGGACTGTAGGGCAGGAACGTGCGTGCTTGGGCACAGAAGCTGGGCACCGAAGCTGGGCACCGCCCGACCTTCTGGGGGAGGGTGGTGAGAGAGTGTAGTGGTGCCAATTGCTCTAGCTGCGTCAGGGGTTCCAGATAACGAGAACCGCAAACGCAGGTGGGGGTGTCCCTGAGCCGGCTCCGCCTGCTCCCCAGGGCACTGGGGGCGGGCATGGGGCCCGGGTGGTATAAGAGCACTGCCCAGCAGAGGGCCTGAGACGCTCGGAGCTCAACCTTGTGCCAGCCTAGGTCAGAACTCGGATCACATCAGACCCTCTCGAGGTGAGAAGAGGGGGCATCTAGGGTGCGCCTGTGGTGGTGGTGGTGGGGGGGGTTATTTGGGCTCCAAGGTTGACTCTGCTTCTGAGAGGCGGGGGCTGCAGCCTGAACTCGAGGGCCAAGAACTGAGAGCCTGGAAGTCTGCAATTTGGGGTCTTTAGGGAAAAAGGAACTAGCGATTCAGAAGTTTGGGTTCCATGGGAAGGAGCAAAATTGGACCCAAGATTCCCGGGTCTCTAGGGGTCAGAGGAACTGGACTTTTGGGTCTGAGGGAGGAGGAGCTGGAGGCCTGGACTTCTGGGTCCGGCGGAGGAGCGGCTGGGGGTCTGGACTCCTGGGTCCGAGGGAGGAGGGGCTGGGGGCCTGGATTCCTAGATCTGAGGGAGGAGGGGCTGGGGTCTGGACTCCTGGGTCGGAGGGAGGAGGGGCTGGGGTCCTGGATTCCTAGATCTGAGGGAGGAGGGGCTGGGGTCTGGACTTCTGAGTCGGAGGGAGGAGGGGCTGGGCCTGAATGCTTTCTCCTTCCCAACTCCAGCAGAAGAGGCCTTTCCTGGCCTGGCAGCCCCTGAGCGGCTAAGCAGGGCACCATGGCAGGACCCCTTCTCCTGACCCTGCAGATCCTACTGCTGTTCTTAGCCCAGGGAGCTTCTGGACAAGGTCAACGCGGGACTGGGAAGCCTGACCTCACCTGGGGCCCCCACTGACCCTCTCCAAGCAGTCCCTAAGTCAGAAGCCCTCCCTCCTCAAACAGCGCCCTCCCTCCTCAAACAGCGCCCTTCCTGGGAGGACCAGACTGTCAGCCACAGCCCCCACTCTTCGTGCTTCTGCTGACTCGGGGGTCTCTGTCCCCTCCAGGCCCTGCCTCCTGCGCTCACCATCTCTCTGCGGTTCCCCCGAGGAGATGCGCCTCCTGGCTTTCTGAGTGGGCTCCCTCTGCCTCTCTGTCCCTAGCTCTTGCTTTCTCTGTTTCTCCACGTGTTTCTGTCTTTCTCCATCTCTGACTCTGGGAACTTCTGGGGTGCAGCCTCCGCCTACCCCTGATGCTGGCTCCCCACATGCTCCTCCATGTCTCCATCCAGGCGGGAGTGACAAGATTATTGATGGCGCCCCATGTACACAAGGCTCCCACCCATGGCAGGTGGCCCTGCTCAATGGCAACCAGCTCCACTGCGGGGGCGTCCTGGTCGGGGAGAGCTGGGTGCTCACTGCCGCCCACTGCAAGATGAAGTAGGTGCCTGCCAAGGCTTCCTGGAGCTGCGCCAGCGTCTCCAACTCGCAACGGGGGCTGTCTTTCCGTGCCTACGGCTCTGTGCCCCTCTCTGGGTCTCTGCCCCTCTCTCTGGGTCTCTGTGCCCCTCTCTCTGGGTCTCTGTCCCCCTCTCTCTCTGGGTCTCTGTCCCTCTCTGTGGGTCTCTGTCCCTCTCTGTGGGTCTCTTCCCCCCCTCCGTGGGTCTCTGTCCCCCCTCGTGGGTCTCTGTCCCCCTCTCTCTGGGTCTCTGCCCCCCCCGGATCTCTGTCCCTCTCTCTGGGTCTCTGTCCCCCTCTCTCTGGGTCTGTCCCCCTCCTCTGGGTCTCTGTCCCCCCTCTCTCTGCGTCTCTGTCCCCCCCTCTCTGGGTCTCTGTCCCCATCTCTCTGGGTCTCTGCCCCTCTCTCTGGGTCTCTGTCCCTCTCTCTGGGTCTCTGCCCCTCTCTCTGGGTCTCTGTCCCTCTCTCTGGGTCTCTGTCCCTCTCTCTGGGTCTCTGTCCCCCTCTCTCTGGGTCTCTGTCCCTCTCTCTGGGTCTCTGTCCCTCTCTCTGGGTCTCTGTCCCCCTCTCTCTGGGTCTCTGTCCCTCTCTCTGGGTCTCTGTCCCCCTCTCTCTGGGTCTCTGTCCCTCTCTCTCTGGGTCTCTGTCCCCCCCCCCGGGTCTCTATCCCCCCCTCTCTAGGTCTCTGCCCCCCTCTCTGGGTCTCTGCCCCTCTCTCTGGGTCTCTGTCCCCCTCTCTCTGGGTCTCTGTCCCTCTCTCTGGGTCTCTGCCCCTCTCTCTGGGTCTCTGTCCCCCTCTCTCTGGGTCTCTGTCCCTCTCTCTGGGTCTCTGTCCCCCTCTCTCTGGGTCTCTGTCCCTCTCTCTGGGTCTCTGTCCCCCTCTCTCTGGGTCTCTGTCCCTCTCTCTCTGGGTCTCTGTCCCCCCCCCCGGGTCTCTATCCCCCCCTCTCTGGGTCTCTGCCCCCCTCTCTGGGTCTCTGCCCCTCTCTCTGGGTCTCTGTCCCCCTCTCTCTCTGGGTCTCTGTCCCTCTCTGTGGGTCTCTGTCCCTCTCTGTGGGTCTCTTCCCCCCCTCCGTGGGTCTCTGTCCCCCCTCGTGGGTCTCTGTCCCCCTCTCTCTGGGTCTCTGCCCCCCCCGGATCTCTGTCCCTCTCTCTGGGTCTCTGTCCCCCTCTCTCTGGGTCTCTGTCCCTCTCTCTGGGTCTCTGTCCCCCTCTCTGGGTCTCTGTCCCCCTCTCTCTGGGTCTCTGCCCCTCTCTCTGGGCCTCTGTCCCTCTCTCTGGGCCTCTGTCCCTCTCTCTGGGTCTCTGTCCCTCTCTCTGGGTCTCTGTCCCCCTCTCTCTGGGTCTCTGCCCCTCTCTCTGGGCCTCTGTCCCTCTCTCTGGGTCTCTGTCCCTCTCTCTGGGTCTCTGTCCCCCTCTCTCTGGGTCTCTGCCCCTCTCTCTGGGTCTCTGCCCCTCTCTCTGGGTCTCTGTCCCCCTCTCTCTGGGTCTCTGTCCCCCTCTCTCTGGGTCTCTGTCCCTCTCTCTGGGTCTCTGTCCCTCTCTCTGGGTCTCTGTCCCCCTCTCTCTGGGTCTCTGTCCCTCTCTCTGGGTCTCTGTCCCCCTCTCTCTGGGTCTCTGTCCCTCTCTCTCTGGGTCTCTGTCCCCCCCCCGGGTCTCTATCCCCCCCCTCTGGGTCTCTGCCCCCCTCTCTGGGTCTCTGCCCCTCTCTCTGGGTCTCTGTCCCCCTCTCTCTGGGTCTCTGTCCCTCTCTCTGGGTCTCTGCCCCTCTCTCTGGGTCTCTGTCCCCCTCTCTCTGGGTCTCTGTCCCTCTCTCTGGGTCTCTGTCCCTCTCTCTGGGTCTCTGTCCCCCTCTCTGTCACAGTGTCTCTGAATTTCTGAATGTCGTTCCCTTCTCCCAGTGTGTACACTGTGTACCTAGGCAGTGATAAGCTGGGAGACAGGAAAGCTCAGAGGATCACGGCCTGGACGTCGTTCCGCCACCCTGACTACAACACGCAGACCCATGCGAACGACCTCATGCTCGTGAAGCTGAGTAGGCCGGCCAGACTGTCATCCACGGTCAAGAAAGTCCAGCTGCCCTCCAGCTGCGACCCCCCAGGAACCACATGTACTGTCTCCGGATGGGGCACTACCACAAGCCCAGATGGTAGGTGGACTCAGTGACCCAGGAGTCCAGGCCCGCAGCCCCTCCTCCCTCAGGCCAGGAGTCCAGGCCCCAGCCCTCCTCCCTCAGACCCAGGAGTTCAAGCCTCAGCCCCTCCTCCCTCAGACCCAGGAGCCTGGACCTACAGCCCCTCTGGTCCTTAGACCCCCCCTCTCTGACTGACAGCTCTCCCTGCTCCTCCCTGCAGTGACCTTTCCCTCTAACCTCATGTGCGTGGATGTCAAGCTCATCTCCAACCAGGAATGCTCGAAGGTTTACAAGGACTTGCTGGACAGTTCCATGCTGTGCGCCGGCATCCCCGACTCCAAGAAAAACGCCTGCAATGTGAGGCACCCCCCACCGCATTCCTCCCCAGTCCTGGGTGCCCTGTCTGCATGCCCCAGGCACAGAGCTTGACTGAGTGACTGGGTACCAAGCCCAGCCTTGCCCTCCCGCCAGGCCTGGCCTCCTCAGCTTTCTTCATCTCATTCTCTACCTAGGTCAGGTGTGGGAGCTGACTTAGGGGCCAATGTGGCCCTGGGATGGGACACAGAGTTTAATGGGGGTGAGAAAGCAGGGGTGGGTGGGGCCGGGGAAGTAGAGTGAGATGCTGGCCCCAGGCCCAAAGCTTAAGGGGGCACTGAAAACCTCAGTGATTGAAATACATTATAATGCAAGATTTAAAAAGAAAAAGAAAAATTCACAGCTGGGTGCGGTGGCTCACGGCCTGTAATCCTAGCACTTTGGGAGGCCGAGGAGGGCGGATCACCTGAGGTCAGGAGTTGGAGACCAGCCTGACCAACATGGAGAAACCCCGTCCCTACTTAAAAATACAAAATTAGCCGGGCATGGTGGTGCAAACCTGTAATCCCAGCTGCTCGGGAGGCTGAGGCAGGAGAATCGCTTGAACCCAGGAGGTGGAGGTTGCAATGAGCTGAGATCACACCATTGCACTCCAGCCTGGCCAACAAGAGCGAAACTGTGCCACCCACCCCCACCAAAAAAAAATTCCCGCAGAAGTCCACAATGGACAAAACGTCGCCATTTTCAATAAAGAGCAGGTAGATGTGACGGGCTTTTCCCTTGCCATAGGCGCCGGCATGGCTCAGCACAGCACTGTGATGGCGCTGTCTTCATTTAAACTGTGGGTACTGTGCCCATGATGCAGTTTTCTGTATTCCATTTGATTGTGTTGAGGATTGCTTTGAGGGATTATGTAGTGCAGTTACCGAGGTTTTGTGCCTGAAGCGAATGACTCACTCGCCTGACTCTGGCCCTGGTCCTGGGCAACCGCTCTCTCCCTCCGCCTCCTCTGCCTCCTCTGTCCCCTCTTCCCGGTCTTTCCTCATCCCCGCTGAGTGACTGAACAGCCTCCCCACATCGCCCATTGTGATGAAATTGCTTCATTCTTTTCCTCTTTGTTCTTTCGCTGCGTTGAGCAGCTTGTTCTCTCTCCCTCGCTCTCTCTGCCCCTCCCCTTTGCTCTCTCTCTTCTCCCTCTTTCTCTCACTGTCTCTCTCTCCTTCCATCCCTCCCTCTCTCTCCTCTCCCTGCCCCCTCCTCCCTTTTTCCTCTCTCTGTCTCCTCCCTGGCCCTCCCCTCTCCCTCTCTCTATTTCCCTCTACTCTGTCTCCCTCTTCTCTCCTTACCTCCCTCCTTTCTTTTTTTTTTTTTTTTTTTTTTTTTTTTTTTTGAGACAGAGTTTTGCTCTTGTTACCCAGGCTGGAGTGCAATGGCGCGATCTCGGCTCACTGCAACCTCCGCCTCCTGGGTTCAGGCAATTCTCCTGCCTCAGCCTCCTGAGTAGCTGGGATTACAGGCACGTGCCACCATGCCCAGCTAATTTTTTTTGTATTTTTAGTAGAGACGGAGTTTCACCATGTTGACCAGGATGGTCTTGATCTCTTGACCTCGTGATCCACCCGCCTCGGCCTCCCAAAGTGCTGGGATTACAGGCTTGAGCCACCGCGCCCGGCCCTACCTCCCTCCTTTCTACTCTGTCTGTCTCTTTCTCTTTCTTCTCTCTTCCCTCCCCAGCCGCTCCCCCATCTCTACAGGCCTTTCTCTCTTTATTCTCCTTCTCGCTTCAAGCCTCTCTCTGTTCTCCCCACCCCATCTCTCTCCTCACACCTTCCTCCTCCCTCATCTCTTTGTCTCTCTCTCCCCTCCCTTTCTTCTCCACCACCACATCTCTCTCTTTCTCTATCCCGTTTCCCTCTTCCCCATCTCCTTGTCTGTCTCTCTTTTCCCTCTCTTCTCCACCCCTATCTCCTTCTGTCTCTCCACACGCATCCTCCTCGCTCACATCTGCACCTTCAGCTCTCAGGGGAGGTGGGATGGTGAGCGTTAGGGATAGAGGTGATGGGAGAGAGGTGATTGTCCTAGAGAACAGGGTGCTCCCCCTCTCCCCTGGTGAGGACCAGCTTCATGAATGTGCACGCTCTGCAGTGACACAGAGGCCCGCACTCAGGAGAGTCTCAAACTCAGTCTAACACATTCCTGTTGTCTTGAAATTCTTTTTTTTTTTTTTTTTTTGAGACGGAGTTTCGCTCTTGTTACCCAGGCTGGAGTGCAATGGCCCGATCTCGGCTCACCGCAACCTCCGCCTCCTGGGTTCAGGCAATTCTCCTGCCTCAGCCTCCTGAGTAGCTGGGATTACAGGCACGCGCCACCATGCCCAGCTAATTTTTTGTATTTTTAGTAGAGACGGGGTTTCACCATGTTGACCAGGATGGTCTTGATTTCTTGAGCTCGTGATCCACCCGCCTCGGCCTCCCAAAGTGCTGGGATTACAGGCGTGAGCCACCGCGCCCGGCCATCTTGAAATTCTTAATGATTTTTGAACAAAGAGCCCTGCATTTTCGCGTTGCACCAAGCCCTGTAATTAAATGATGTAACTGGTCTTGACCCTGGTCTTCGAGACCATGGTGTCCCCCTTTCCTGTGCCAGAAGGCATGCATCCACTCCTTGGAGGTGATGTTCCTTCTCCCACTAGCTTGAAGCAGGGTTTGTTGTTGTTGTTGTTGTTTGAGACGGAGTCTCACTATGTCGCCCAGGCTGGAGTGCACTGGCCCAATCTTGACTCACTGCAACCACCTCCTCCCGGGTTCAAGCAATTCTCCTGCCTCAGCCTCCGAGTAGTTGGGATTACAGGCACTCGCCACCACGCCCGGCTAATTTTTTGTATTTTTAGTAGAGACAGGGTTTCACCGTGTCAGCCAGGGTGGTCTCGATCTTCTGACCTCACAATCTGCCCGCCTCGGCCTCCCAAAGCGCTGCCACCTCGGCAGGCCCAAAGCAGCGTTCTTAACATTGGAAAATGAATAGTGCTCCAATCCTGGAAGCCCCACCCCTTCTCTGCCATTGGTCTAATTGGCCAAGGCTCAAACCAATGTCTTCAAAGAACCTAGTAAGGCCCTAGCACTAGCTCTCCCATTGGCCCCCAGAGACAATGAGTCTCTTCTCATTGGCTGTGGTGGAAGTCCGTCCATAATCTGCAAGACCAAGACCGATAACTGAGGAATGTATGAGACTTGAGTTGGGTTTTGCTCTCAAGCCGAAGTTAATCTCCTGCCCTATTCCCTCCAGGGTGACTCGGGGGGACCGCTGATGTGCAGAGGTACCCTGCAAGGTCTGGTGTCCTGGGGAACTTTCCCTTGCAGCCAAGGCAATAACCCGGGAGTCTACACTCAAGTCTGCAAGTTCACCAAGTGGATAACTGACACCATGAGAAACAATCGCTAACCACTCCACCAAGAGTTAAATAACTGTGTGCTTCCAACAGAACACGCACAGGAAGAAGGACGCTGGTGATCTATGACTTTACCTTTCCTCAAAAATATATTAAAATGTCATGACCTGTTTGTAAACCAGTCAAACTGGCAAAGACCTAAAACCAAAACAAATAAAGAAACACAAAACCCTCAGTGCTGGAGAAGAGTCAGTGAGACCAGCACTCTCAAACACTGGAACTAGAAGTTCGTACAATCTTTATGGAAGACACTTTGTCAACATACACTGAGACTCTTATTCACTGCCTTTGGCGCTGTATCTCTAGTCTTAGGAAGATGATACCAAAAAAAAAAAAAAAAAAATCCAAAATGTAGACCATGACTTAAATTCATCAGAATATTATTTATCACAGGAAAAAAAGTAGAAACATCAAAAATGTTCTAAAAGTACTAAATGGCTTAAATAATAGTCTGGTTGGGCACAATGATTTTTTTTTTCTGAGGCAGAGGCTCACTCGGTTGCCTAGGCTGCAGTGCAGTGGTGCAATTTTGGCTCACTGCAACCTCTACCTAGTGGGTTCAAGTGATTCCCATGCCTCAGCCTCCCAAGTATCTGGGACTACAGGTGCACACTCCCACATCTCAGCCTCCTAAGTAGCTGGGACTACAGGTATGCACCACCACACCAGGCTAATTTTTTATTTTTATTTTTTTGTATTTTTGGTAGAGACAGCGTTTCACCATGTTGACCAGTGTGGTCTCGAGCTCCTGACCTCAGATAATCCACCTGCCTCAGCCTCCCAAAAGCCTGAGATTACAGGCGTGAGCCGGCGCACTCAGCCCATAATGATACTATAAATCTATTATAAATGATACTTAGAATTGTTAGTGTTATGCAAGAATGTTTAGGCTACATGATGTTAAATGACGAAAGGAAGAGACAAAAATACATAGGTATGTGATGTGATCCTAGCCATGAAAAATGAAATATTCATAGAATCAAATCTGCAAACACATGTCCCAGACGGTATACTGGGGTTGTCATGAGGTGTCTCCTTCCTTCTGTGTACTTCTCCGTGAATGTGCACTTTTATAAACCGAAAAATAAAGGTGGGAAAAAAGTCTGACGATCTAAGGTTGGAGAGAGGAGACGTTTCTGGAAAGGAGATTAGAAAGAAAAATGTGCCTGGTTTTGAGCCCTGGTCCTGCCCTCCCTGTTCCATGGTATATTTCCATTTCCCAGATCTCAGTTTTTCCTGCCTGTATAATGGGAGAGAGAAGAAAGGATGGAGAGAGGAAGAAGGAGAGGGGGAGGGAGGTGAGAACATATCGACTTCATCAGTGTTGGAAGGGGTGTGAAAGTGTTTTTGTTTGTTTGTTTGAGACAGAGTTTTGCTGGAGTGCAATGGTGCGATCTTGGCTCACTACAACCTCTGCCTCCTGGGTTCAAGCTATTCTCCTGCCTCAGCCTCCTGCATAGGTGGGATTACAGGTACCCGCCACCACGCCTGGCTAATTTTGTATCTTTAGTAGAGATGGGGTTTCTCCATGTCAGTCAGGCTGGCCTCAAACTCCCAGCCTCAGGTGATCCTCCCACCTCAGCCTCCTAAAGTGCTGAGACTACAGGTGTGAGCCACCGTGCCCAGCCTGGTTCTTACCCTTGCTGATGGGCCTGGCACCGCCATCATTCATGAACTCACCCCAAGGACCACACACACAACCGCAGTCACAGCCAAGCATGCACGCAGTTCTGCGGACAGGCACGCATTGCCTCCACAGATGCAGCTAATGCTGCAGCTCTGTGTCCAGGTACACACGCTCCCCAGGTACACACGCTCCTGGGCAGCCTTGCAGGGTCGCACGCCTCATCCACAGTGTCTCAGTGCCACGCACAGATGCCCTGTGTGCGTAGATGTTCAGACTGCCACATACTCTTCTCCACACAGGCATGTTGACATGGTGACAAAATTATCTCCCTCGGACCCAGGAGTTCAGGAGCCCAGCATGGCATAGTGCATGTCAGTCACCTAGCACCCATCTCCCAGAGACAGCCACCCCTGCACCCTCTCTCTCTCCAGGCAGGGACAGAAACTCCAGACACACAGCTGCTCCATCACACACGCTCAAGCCATCTCCCCACCCTGGCCTCCCTAAGTGCTGGGATTACAGGCCTGAGCCACCGAACCAGGCAATACTGCAAATGTTTCTGACCATCTCAGGAGTGACAAGTGAGGAGGGAGGCAGGAGGTTTACGGAGGGGATTGGGATGGCAGCAGACAGGACACCGGGGTCCCACAGGGTTTCCAGAAGTGAGCAACCAGTGCCGGAGGAAAATGGTGGTTCCTGCTCCCCAAGAACCTTGGGAAGGGGGTAGGATGACAGAGGAGTCCTCCGTGACTCCGAGCCTGGCCACGCCCCCAGCCACCTAACATCAAAGATCCTCTGTGTGGTCAGATGCTGCTGACCCTGACCGAGGAGCCACTCTAGCCCAGGACGAGCCCCTCCTACCTGTTCTTCCTGTTTCTCTCCCAGAATTCCCTCCCCACCAACATCCTCCAGATCCTCCCTCTCCTTATCTCACCTCCGAGTCTCTCCCAACCCAGCCACCCAGCCCTGTCCTATTGCAGAAATTCTGCAGCCACTAATTCTGATTCTCTGCATATAGGAGGCTAACACAACAAACAGAGGAGTCCAGACCCTCAGCCCCTCCTCCCTCAGACCCGGGAGTCCAGGCCCCCAGCCCCTCCTCCCTCAGACCCAGGAGTCCAGACCCTCAGCCCCTCCTCCCTCAGACCCAGGAGTCCAGACCCCAGCCCTCCTCCCTCAGACCCAGGAGACCAGACCCCAGTCCCTCCTCTCTCAGATACAGGAGTCCAGACCCCAGCCCTCCTCCCTCAGACCCAGGAGTCCAGACCCCAGCCCCTCCTCCCTCAGACCCAGGAGTCCAGACCCTCAGCCCCTCCTCCCTCAGACCCAGGAGTCCAGGCCCCCAGCCCCTCCTCCCTCTGACCCAGGAGTCCAGACCCTCAGCCCCTCCTCCCTCAGACCCAGGAGTCCAGACCATCCCCCAGCCCATCATTCGTCAGACCCAGGTGTCCAGACCACTGCCAGCCACTCAGACCCAGGAGTCCTGACCCCCCAGTCCCTCCTCCCTCAGACCCAGGAGTCCAGATCCCCCCCAGTCCCTCCTCCCTCAGACTCAGGAGTCCTGGCCCCCCTGCCCCAGCCCTTCCTCCCTCAGAGCCAGGAGTCCAGGTGCCCAGCCCCTTCTGTTTTGGGGCCTGTCAAGTTTAAAGAATGTCAAAAATTTTTGACCCCCCATCCCCTGAAGTTTTATCAACATTTCCTTTCCCTTCTGCCAGCCACTCCAATACTCAATCTCGAATTTTAAGAGTAACAGAACATTGCATTTGCACTAGGTCAGCCTGGAGATCCCTGGCCCTGGCCCTCTGCTCTCCTATATCAAAGGTGCGGGTAGATTGGTTTGCAGTGACTGAGGTGGCACTAATGTTGAATTTTTTTTTTTTTTAAGTAATTCACTTTTCTTTGGGTAGGCAGGATAGTGTGATAGTCAAGGGACTAGTTCTGGATCCTGGCTTCTTGGGTTCAAATCCCAGTTCTAGCCCCTACCAGCTCTTTGCCTTTTAGCTCAATCTTACCCCATCCCTGTTCCTTCATCCTTGAAATGGGAGGAAGAGCATCTACTTTCTAGGGTTATTACAGAGATTCAATAAGTTAATACACAGAACGTGCTCAAACATATATTATATGTTATAAGGATTACATATATATAATTTATATATATATAATTTTTAAAGAATATATAATATATGCTTCCACTGTATATTTTATATATATATATATATAATACATCTCTCTCCTTATATCCTTATATTGTATGATTTATACCCTTATAAATCATATGATATAATACATATATATGGCCTGGCTCTGTCACCCAGGCTGGAGAGCAGTGGCATGATCATAGCTCACCGCAGCCTCAATCTCCTGGGCTCAAGCAATCCTCTTAGCTCAGCCTTTCGAGTAGCTGGGACCATGCCTGGCTGATGTTTTTTTTTTAATTTTTATTTTTAGTAGAGACGGGGTCTCACTACGTTGTCCAGGCTGGTCTCTAACTCCCAAGCCTTCCAAATAATCCTCCCACCTCGGCCTTTCATAGCGCTGGGGTCATAGGTGTGAGCCCCTGCACCCAGACAAAGGATTTATTTATTGAAGATTTTTCCAGAGCAGGTCAATCCGGAGCAAAATACCCAGTAAACGGGCATTCAAGGAATGCGGAGATGGCAAACCACAAGGTCACCAGAGAAGGGGTAGAGCTAGGAATTCCTTTCTTTTCAAAGTCCTTCACTCCCCACAGCCTGACACCTCCCTTCTTTCCCCACCCAGCTCTCAACAATTCCCCTCAAGTTCACTCACCTCATATTGTCATAAGACAGACCCGGTGAGGTCAGCAAGGGATGGGCCACATCCGCTGCCATGTTGGAAGTTGAGCTCCCATTCAGGCGCCATCATTTCCTGGGTGTTTGATGTTGAGCAATGAACTTCCATTCTGAGCCTCAGTTTTCTTATCTGTAAAATGGGAGTGGGTGTGAGGAAGTCATTTAGTCATCTGGTCGTGTTTCCTAAGGCTTCTTCCGGGCCAGGTCCTATGTGGGTGCTTGGGACACAGGAATGAATCAACCCTGTACCTGCCCTCAAGGAGCTCACGGTCCACTGGAAGAGACAACTAATGTCAATCCAGGTGGCCCCAGTCCAGGGCAGATTGACCGAGACACCAGCTGTGGGAACTTACATGACAGAATGAGTAATCTAACTGCAGCAGGTGGAGGCTGGGTGGTGTTCAGGGAAGGTTTCCTGGAGGAGGTGATATCCAGGCAAAGACTTGAAAGACAGGTTACTGACAGGAAAAGGTGGGGAAAACGTGCTAAGAAGAGAGAATAGGCTGGGTGCGGTGGCTCATACCTGTAATCCCAGCACTTTGGGAGGCCGAGGCGGGCGGATCACCTGAGGTCAGGAGTTCAAGACCAGCCTGGCCAACATGGTGAAACCTCATCTCTACTAAAAATACAAATATTAGCCGGGCATGGTGGCATGCACCTTTAATCCTAGCTACTCAGGAGGCTGAGGCAGTAGACTGGCTTGAACCCAGGAGGCGGAGGTTGCAGTGAGTGGAGATCATACCGCTGCACTCCAGCCTGGGTGACAGAGAGAGACTCCAT